AAAAAAAATCCTGATGGATACACCACATTTTCCAGCATGCTGTGAATAAAATAAGTGTGTGACGACATTTAAGCATTTCCTAACCACCTCCTCAGTTGGTATTATGTGCAAAATTCATTTGTGATTCCGTGTAGTAATGCTGATTCTTATACCTGGTTATTAGCAAATCTAATGAAAATGTATTATGAGAAAAAAATGAAATGCTTTACTGACATTATTTTTAATCAGTGAAGATTTTAAAATGCTATAAACTTGGCAACATGTGATGTACTGTATTGGTCCGATAAATTCAGAAAGGATGGGTTAAAAAGGAAAGGGTGATAGGAGAATATGCATATCAGCGACTTGTACTCACAGATGAGCTAGTTTAGCATAGACTGGTAGGCAGAGTCCTGTGTGTCATTTTCTAGTCCAATTAGGGGTTTAGCAAGTTGTGTGAGACAAGAGATCAAAGTCCAAAGGTAGCATTCCTTAGGAAAATAGCCTAAAGACTGTCATTTCTACCGAAACCTATATATAGAATATAGGTCATCAATAGATTGTTTTCAGAAGGGATGACATGTGATTACCGCCAAAGGACTTCATTCCAAGATGTGGGCAGTCTGAGTCCCAGTCATTGTAAATTGCTGATTGTGCCATGAGTCACATCTCATTGGTGTCAGCAGTCTCACAGGCTAAGAGAAGGAAATTGATTTGAGTGCTGTGTGTCCTTTCCTTTAGAAGGGAAGCTAGCAGGCAACACAAATGTGATACTGTGGTGCCTCAAGAGAGACGTGTCGTATCATTAACATTTCCTGTTGTTCCTATTCTTGTTTTTGAACTATTATTAGAATTGTCTCCCTCTCCTTTGAGGTTTCTGCTACTAAGTAACATGTCCTAGTAACTATTGCAGAAAAGAGGTACTTCTGATTGGATTGGGTTCCTCAAGTCAGACTCTATCAATGAGCTGTAGATCTCTGTTGTTCAGATCTGTATGCCCACTGCAGTGTCTCACAACTTGTAAGATTTCTAGCAGTTACAATGTATTAAAAGAAGTAAAAGCAGGAGAGAGCTTCTTGTCTCTCTTTCATATTTTATTTTAACTTGCTGGACAAATTCTTCCTTATTCTGGGTTAATTGAGGGACAGGCTGGACAGCATTGATCCTCATCCCCTCCAGATCACCAGAGGGGTGAGCATGAATTAAACAGTCATGTAGTTGTTATCATTTTGAACAAGGCAAGTAGACTTTAAACCCGGCTTGGGCTTGTCATGGATTGTGTGCAGATACTTGAATTGCAAAGCATTACCTATATGTGTAAACACAGGATAACCAAAGAGATATTCTTTGAATGTAGTAAGTGTTCCTTCATCTCTCTGAGCAGCACCTTTTTGACTCTTTAAAACTGAAAACTTTTTTTCTTCACACCTACCCATGTTCCTGGTCATTTGCTGCTGTTGTTATCAGACTTTGTGCTCTGCTGTGCCACCTTTTCATATTTCTGCTTTTTACAGCCACATGTTTAGTATTGGTAATAGCTGATGAGTAGGGACCTCTGTTTAACTCTTGAGTTGAAAATGGTATAATTACAAAGTTTGTAAATCAAGCCATCTCAAGAATCTTACATAGCCTTGTGCTTGTTTGTTATTCTTTAGAGTCACATTTGATAATGAATCTTTTTATTCAAGTTTGGGGAGGCCCATACTAGTTCAAAAGTTTGATAGCCCATGTGTATCAGTTCCTCAGTTTAAAATGCAGGTTTCCTTAAGTTTAATCTGCACATAAGTTCTTCGCAGTGAGTGAGTACATTATTATCAGTGGAAGCTATTCTCAAGAGGAACACTAGATTCTGATATTGTCGATAAATTAGTGAAGTTCCCAAAACAAAGCAGACTACAACAGACCTAGATATAGTTCAACACAGGGAAAACATATAAGGAAGGTGACATTTAATGTAGACACGTACAGAGTGTTACTTGTACACTACATTCCAGAAATATAAACTCTGCGCTACTTATGAAAAATACTTAGACCTAGTTATTTTGACACATTATTTACGTCTTTTAGACATTGCATTGAAGAAATAAAAAGACAGAATATAAGAACACGTAGTTTGAGTGTAGAAATCAAAGAACATTATATTTAAATTGTATAGTGTAAAATATTGTGTACAGTTTTGGTCACCACCATACAAAAAAAGGATTGCTGCTCAGAAATCTGCCAAGAGATGTGCAATCAGATATATTTCTAGCCTCGAAGGACAGCCTAATATAACAATGGTTTGAGTCTTGAACAGAAAAATTGTTTGAACTGATCTGATTCAAATACTGTATTCAAAATCCCCAAAGGCGTTGACACAGTCAATCCAATGGACTTCTTAGAATCAATAGTGAAACATTAACCAGAGCTAAAACCATTTAAAACTGAGAACAGGAGATACTTCTTTGCGCAAAGCATGGTGGGAATCTGGAACAAGCTACCCATTAGAAGCTGATTCCCTGGATTCTTAGAAATGGCTGGATGATGTCTTTGGATTACTTAAACACTAGACGAGTGGTCTCTCGTTTATAAACGTTTCTATGGTTTATTAAAGTGCTTTATCTAAACAAGGTTTGATCCGCAGTTAACAGCTGTTGGATGCTGTAGCTTGAAACAGCAAACATCGATAGTCAACTGGTCTTTCATCCCCAGTACAGTGTCTCGACAGGGTACCTGTGCAGTGTCCCAAAAGTGTTGCTCCTGTGCCACATCATAGTCGTGAACCACAAATAATTTCCTTGTTGTTCTTTTGCATTTTTATTACTTCAGATCTATCATATCGATAGAAGTATAGATAATTAAATGATCACTACACCAAGGTGTTTAGGGTTTGCTTCCTATACTGTATCAATGCTTCCTATGAACCATTATATGCAAGAGCAGTGAAGCAAAGCTGTTAGTTATCGCAGACTCCTGACTTCAACATGACCTTGAAGAGTTTCGTTATTTATGTGGAATTACTGCAAAACAAGCAGAGGCTGCTGTGCATTGCTTCCAGAAATAACTCCGTATAACTGTTTTATCAAAGATGGATGCACAGGGTTTTATTTATGTCTGTATTTTTCATATTGAAAGCTGGCATCTGTTTCCTGTGAGGACTAATTTTCTTATTTTATTTAAAGCAAAATCCACAATATTCTTAAGTGGGCAGGTATGGGCATTGCTGTTTTTGTTAGATGTAGACCTTTAAGTAAGGACTAGGCATTACACTGAGAACGGTTTGTCTAGTTTAGAAAATATGGGTACAGATCACGGCTTTCCAAATTCATAGTTCTTAACTACAAATAAACATTTTCACTTCCCTTTTCAAATTTATTTGCCAAATGTTTTTATATGTTAAACAGATAAACATCACATATATAACAGTACTGTAGGTCATTATGCTTTTCATTTGGATGCATCAAATGGAGGGCACGTCTAAGCAAATCAAGTGTTTGTTGGCATGTTTCAAGCAGTGATGCTTTTCTGTCTTGCAGATGGATCTGCCTTTGAACTGATTGGTGCTATTGCTGTCTTCCAGAGAATTGTGTAGGGAGAGGGAACTATTAGATAGAACTTTTTTTGCATTAGTGGATGTGTGGTAGTGATGAAAATGTACCTTTACAGCTTAGTAACACCTCTGTGTTTAAGGCACTGCAGCAAAAATGTTAAACTGAAGAATAAGGGAGTATTTCACAAAAAGGATAAGTTCCAAAGCTTTGAGTCAGCTGCACTGTAGTGCTGTTGAGTAGTTTGGTGATGTTGAGAAAGTTGGCAGAGGTAAAGTCCAGAAAACGTTTTGATTTTGCTGTCTACGCAGTCTTTTTCCCCGTTGTTTGGGGTGATAAATAAATTGCCGCTGCCCCGCCTTTGCTCGTTTTCAGCTCTGCGAGACCCCATGGCGATGGAGCGAGCAAACCTGCTGAACATGGCCAAGCTCAGCATCAAGGGGCTGATCGAGTCCGCGCTGAGCTTCGGGCGCACGCTGGACTCCGACTACCCTCCCCTGCAGCAGTTCTTCGTCGTCATGGAGCACTGTCTGAAGCACGGCCTCAAAGGTGATCTCGCGTGAGGGACCTCTCTGCGGCAGAGGAAACACTAAATGAACAGAAACACAGCCACAAGATGGTTTGAGCAATGGAAACGTTATTTGACGCAGTAAGACGCATGCAGCTGCAACAACAGGAAACCCCAGACCGTCCTCGGACAATAAGCACCCTCCTCATCTGGTTATTTGTTTCACTGAATCTCAAATCCCAAACAGATATTTTAAAAATGCATTTGGTATAGCTGGGAGTAAACAAGGAAAATATTTTAGATATTTAAGGGTCCTTAAAATGTTCCTTTCTATACATTTAACATGTACATAACATACCTGTTTTAATACTGTGTAAGAATTGAATAATTTCATTTGTGTCTGTGGATTGAGCCCCTGTTACCTTGTATTGCTTGTGCTCCCAGTGAAGAAGTCTTTTCTGGGCTACAACAAGTCTCTGTGGGGTCCCCTGGAGCTGGTGGAGAAGCTGTGTCCAGAGGCTGGTGAGATCGCAGCTAGCGTCAGAGACTTGCCTGGTCTCAAGTAAGTCAGTCACCTTCACCAGACCATCCCTAATGTATACAGAGAAGCCATTTTACCCTGAGCTGTGTCCACACAAAGTCATTCCTGCCCCCATGACTGGTCCTGATTCAAATCAACAGAGAAATAAACATGAAATTGCTAAGATATTGAAAGTGTAGAGAGATGAGATGAAAAGAAAAATGAAGTGAAAAGAAAAAAGTGCTTTTTTTCCCTGATATGAACAGCCACTTCTCTTCTAACTTCTTATCAGAAATAAAGCTTTTTCTCAGGGCAAAAAGAAGAAGTGAATTTTAAGAGAAGAAGGTACAAGACCTTTCTTTGAATTGTTCTTTCAGAAATTAAATTCCAGGCCTATGTTCTGATGCTTTCATTGGCAGAATTGTACCGTACTGACTTGTCTTCGTTGTGTCCTGGCATTTCCAGACGGGTGTTATATTGCCTTTGAATACTCAGAAATGTTAGGGGCTTTGATTAACCTAAGAAGGATGGGTCCTTTTTCCATTTCAATGTAAATGTTGTTTAAATGGTGAGGCATGCGTTTTTAATTTAACAATTTACAAGATAATTAAGATCATTTCAGTATTTAAATAGTGACGATTTAACTAAACTACCGCTTTAGCGTTATGAGGAATTATGGGCAGCATACTAAACTTTCCAGATTTGTCCAGTAATGCAAGTTTTATTAAAACACTGGCACAAGGACTGTAAATTATTTTCAATGTTGAGATTAAATATCAGAAGAAAGGACAATGATTTCACTAGATTATGTAACAGTAACAGATGGTTCAGTATTCATTATTGTGTATTTTCTACAGGCCTTTGACAGTTCTTCTTCTTTGGTATAAATGGAATAGATATAATATAATTTAGAAGATAAGAAAGTGACATCTTTACGAACTTCACTGGAGCACAGTCAGGTCAGGGCTTTTATTGTTCGGGTGAGAGTAGAGCCTTTAGAGAGTATATTTTTGTGTCACCCTGAAGCAATAAGAGGGCATCTCCTCTCCAGCTGGTACAGCTGCCCTGATCTTTGTGTTATAGGCAGCAACTGCAATAAATGCACTTGTGGTAAAGCTGCTTCCTTTTAGAGGATGAGTGTAAAGTATAGTAATCTGTCTTGGTTTATTGTGGAGATGTGTAGTGTTGGTTGGTATAAACAAATGAAAAGAACTGGCCACTATGTAACATTAAAAGAAAACACAGAGCTCAGTGTTTCAAAATAAGCCCTTTTTATTGTTCCATAATTTGCTTTCTGCTTGGTTTACCTTACCAAGCAAACTGAGCAATATGAAAATACAAGCAGTCGGGCCTCTTTCTGTACTTGACTGACAGTCCCGTTTCTCCCTCAGGACTCCACAGGGACGAGCGCGGGCGTGGTTACGCCTGGCTCTGATGCAGAAAAAGTTGGCTGACTACCTGCGTTGTCTCATCACAAGGAAGGATCTACTGAGGTAGACTGGACCTTTGAGCGCAGATCTTTCATAGCCTGGGCCTGTTCTGAGACCAGGGAGATGAGCCATTTCTGCTTATTTAATGATCATCATTAGGGATGGTTTTGAAACAATCTGGCCACAACAACTCTAGGCACGTCTTTTATTTAAGAATGTGATTCTGCAGTGAGCGTAAGTCCTGTACGAAGATGAGAACATGAGCATGCTGTCATTATCAGTCCATGTTCTCTTGCTAAAACACAAAAGTGGTACAACGTTTCTGTAACAGCTGTACTGCAGCAGAGATGCAGCTCATGTCTCCTTTCCTAGTCTTTATTTGCTATAGTCTTCATTTGCTATATTTTATACACATTATAATGTTTGTATATTACAATGTTTTTTTCTGGGTCTATATTATTATTTCTGGGTGTAGGTTAACACCTACAGTACACAAGCAATTAAAAAGACTGTATAGCAAATACAATACAGTACAATAACTGCAGTGTAGAAATAAAGGGTGTGCTTTCCCTTCAGTGCTTTGAAATACATAATTTACTGGTGTCTATTATTATAGCAGTAGTATTGTATAGTATTGTTCAGTCACAGTATTGTACACCAGACATGCAGTAAAACTTTCATAATTTGCTTGTGTTGCTGTTTCTTGGACAATAAAGGAATTTGTTCACCTCTCTTTCTGATATTTGGAACATGAAATCAAAACAGGTGTACACTGAGCTTGGTGCTTGAGTAGAATCTATCATTAGCCGGGGAAGTTCACTTCCTCTGTTGCCTACTTTTAAAAGGAAAAACTGAATCATTTGGACAGCTTGACCTTCATACTTCAGCTTTCATTTCTTTTCTGTGCGTGTAGATTTAAAAGGGAACTGCAACGCTATTTTCATATTTCGGGGTTAGAAAGATTCAGCTTTGATAAGTGCATTTTAAACCACAATAAAAGTAAAACGTACACAGTAACTTGTAAAAACTTCCAATTTTCATCACAAAGAAGACAAAATTTCCAGGTATGCACTGCGCCATATTCAGCGGTTCAGAACAAGGTGAGGTGGTGCGGCCCTATGACATTGTAGGCAAGCAGGCTTGTACTGTAAATACATCTTAATCCTATGTAACAGATAGGATTGAACAATAGAAATATTGCTCTCGACTTCTAGACGATTTTGCTGACTAATACTACTTACTCGTTATCTCTGCATGCAGATCCTACTGGAACATTTCTGCGGTGATTTTTCTATAACGTCAATGAATTTATTTTCTTACAGAGATTTAATAACGAGTCTGAGAAATTGGGGTTGCAGTTCCTCCTTAATTAGCACAGTAGATATGTGGTTCTTTGGAAATTTAAGACGGGTTAAAGACATTTCACAAATTGCATTTGCTCAGTGATGCCTTTTTGTCTCTTCAGTGATTTTTATGAATGTTCTGCGGTGATGTTGGAGGAGGAGGGTGCTGTCATCGTTGGCCTTCTGGTTGGTCTTAACGTCATTGACGCTAACCTGTGTGTGAAAGGAGAAGATCTCGATGCACAAGTAAGCACCTTGCTCTCTAATGCAGTACCTGGTGTACTCCACTTTCACTCTTCAGTCCCCTTTTGTACAGACGGTTTTAGATATGTCACTCTGGCCTGTGATCATTACTCCTGACCTGGCCTAAGTGAATTTTAAACAGTCATCAGGCATAACCACTGGGCCATAAGGGAATTGATCACTATTAAACCCCCATTCTTGTTATTGACATGGGTTTAACATCTCAGACTTGAACTATAAAACCCTCTGTAACACTTTTGCAATTGTGGGCACTTAGAGAAATACACCTTGTGTGTGTCTCCTTCAGTGTTCTCCAGAAGGGGACATTTTCGTTACAATTAAACTCATTCCAAACCTTCACTGGACTGTGCTGTGACTCATTTCATCCCCCCGTACTGAAACTTATCTCACAAAGTGTTTCTCTATGCAATCCAAACTGTCAAAGTTTAATTTCAAAGATCGTCCATTTTAAACAGTAGATTTTAATACCTTTTTAAATAGGTGTTTGTGAAATATCTGAGAAACATTGTTTAGTAACGAGAGTGATTGACCTGCTGTTGTTTTTCTCAGGTTGGAGTGATTGACTTTTCCATGTACCTGAAGAATGACATTGATGACTACAGAAGTGAAGAGAGGTGACGTAAGATAGTATACTCTTACATTATACTGTGGTGCATTAAGCTCACAGAAATTATTGATTAGTAAAAGGTTAGTAAAAAGGTTTTGTGTCTAGAGATGTACAGTTGTAATGTGTACTGTTCTTTGTCTTCGCCTTTGTGTTGTCAGCACATAATGATTTCACAAATCTCTTATTTGTTTATTTTCTATTAGCAAAGTTTTGTGCTGGCATATTAAAACAGCTTTCTGTTGCAGGAATGGTCAGATAGCTGCTATTTTGGACCAGAAGAACTATGTGGAAGAACTCAACAGGCAGCTTAAGTACGTAATGGGTTTTTCATTGTTTGAATGTTCTACATTTAATTTTTGTTGTAGCTGTTGCAAAGTTTCACATTTCTGCCAGGGGTGGCTCAACAAAGCAGCCCCAAAAGTCTGCTTGCATGGTACAGTGTCTGTAGTAGCAGGTAATTAGAAAAATTACAAAACGGACATATTTAGATTAACATTAACTCATTTAACGTTATTTTTTCTCAAACTTTGGAAAGATTGGAGACAGCTGTCTTTGGAATTGTTCTTCCATTCCATTCATAAATTCTGAAACAACCTTCAGAGGGGGTGTGTGGGAGATTCCTGAAGGTTTGTATTTTAAATTATGCTTTAAAAATAACATTTTTGCTTTCAGTTCCACAGTCCAGAGCCTGCAAGGACGTGTCGATTCCCTGGAGAAATCAAACACTAAACTAATAGAGGAGGTAGGGAAAAAAATCATAATAATTTTTAAGATAACACATTGTATACTGACAAAATTATAGAGGCAGTGCTGAAACTACCAATGCACTGCAGCAGTGCCCTGTTGCTCCTGAGAGAGTGAGTAATAAAATTGCATCAAGATGTATGAGGGGTTAGCATTAAATCTTTTTGATCTTTAGGTGAATGAGAAGAATGAACTAAAACACAAATACTGAAATGCCTAATTCGTTTTAGCGCTGTCTATGCCAGAGGTCTGTCTGGGGCTGTCAGGTTAAAATGGTGTTAAATTTTGTGTTAACCACTGACTCTTCTCTTTTAGCTGGCTATAGCAAAGAACAACATTATCAAACTACAAGAAGAAAACCATCAGCTCAGAAATGAGAACACCCTCATCTTGATGAAAGCCCAGCAGCAACTGCAGGTACATACATCTCTGCATTGTGGTTCCTTCATCGGTGACACTTTTTCAGGAGCACAGTTCAGGGTAGTTTTATCTCCTGTGTTTTGTGTTACATCTTACAGCATATTGTTGGAGGAGTAAAGTACACATATACAGCATATAGAAGAATAAATTGAACACATTTATATTTTCTTTGAATAAATGCTAGTTCAGAATTGAATTTTAGGTTATTCTGGGATGAGTTTCTGTTACTATTTTTGTCCTTACACTGTTTTGTAGAACTTTGTCCTGATGGTTTCTGTACAGCTAAAGGGAAATTAATGCATAGTTAAGAACTACTGTTTGTAACAGGTAAGAGAGGTCAATTTAACCATACTACAGATGCAAGGAAGGATATACATTTTAGGTTGTATTGCTGGTATAGCAGCCTGAGTTTTATCATGAATCAATTGGGTCTTGAAATAAATAACAAGTGTGGGAAGCCTGATCTATTCAACTTTGACTTGAATAGCAAGATAATTATGTTAATTGTATGGTAACAGCAGAGTCTCCTAGTAGATGGGCATTGTTCCATTGCCAATAAAACATATTCTAATCTTTGGCAAAGAAGTAGCTCAGAAGTAATAACCTCAGAATCACAATTCTGTGAACACGCCAAGTGCAAATACCTATTTTCTCCTCATGAGTCATCTGCTTTTAACAGCATCTGAAAAAGAATTTAGGCAAAAACATTATTTGGATATTTTGGGTTCATACTTTGATTCCAGACAATATACATTGTTTCATTGCATTTATTTATTCCCAGAGGTTTTTTTTACAGAATTTTGGTATTGGAGGGGAACCTCTTTCTCCCTCTCCAAGCCAGTTGAGAAATAATGCTCTAATTGGAAACTAGGAAACCTGGATTTTGGTTATTGACTCCCTCTTGTCTGATTCTAGGGACACAGTTATTGCTGGGCTGAGTGGTGTGAAATTAAGGGGTAACTCTTGACTAACTACATAGAAATAAGCAGGGGCTTTACTGTGCTCTACTGGGTTCAGAGGTCCAGAGGTCAGTGAAGTAGATTGCTTAAGAATACATTTGCATGCATTTGGAAGGTCCTTGTGTCCATTTTGAATAACATGTTGAGTGGCAGAGCAATTAATTGACTATTCCAAAAATACGGAGGTCTTTGGACATTTCTTAAAAGCAAACAAGAAGGTGAACGAAAGTATGAGCATGGTTTTAGAATAATTCCTTCCTGTAACGGTCACAGCTTGTTTTGCGTTGTGACGTTAGACAGTGACTGTATCTCTCCTCTCCTGGTTTAAATGGAGGCCACACAGGGGGATGTGGATGTGGAACTGGACACCTACAAGCAGTCACGACAAGGGCTAGATGAGATGTACAACGAGGCACGAAGACAACTTCGGGAAGAGTGCCAGTTAAGACAGGTGAGCACGCTTCTTGCTTTGTAGACAGTGTGTCTCTGGTTTATTCTTTTCCATGTACGCTGTAGGTAGAAAACTCTTGTGGGGTCTCAAGGGGCCTTTGCCCTCAACTGGCTTGTGTTTAGTCTTGGGGAGCTGACATCCTAATAAGCGAACCATTCCTGAAGGTTTTTTCGGCTAATTATGAAAGAAAAATGTGGATAACAAAACCATATACAGTATATATACCGTAGGTAGCATTAGGTTATTGGAAAATATATCCAGTAGAAAGTAATTGAATTCAACAATGTGGCTAAGAGCTAATTAAAGTAATGTACTTGATTGTTGCAGTGTCTAGATCATTCAAACATTTGTTTACAACTTAATTTTCCTTTTAATACACTGCAGTGACCTTAAGTCATTAACTTTTCCCAGCCTATGTATGTCAGCATGCTGCTTTTTTTTCTTGTTGTGCTCTCAGTAGGCTGCATCTTTGATTATCTGTTTTGTGAGTGGTAAGACAGGATATTTTAAATACAGTCTTTCTGAATGACATTTTGTGTGAGAACACAAATACCGCTTTTGTCTGCAGCTCCTTACTTACTCAGTAGGCTTTGTATTTCTTTTTAAATGTGGGACCAGGTCTTAGCTTTAAGAGTACCAGAAAGTCCTGCTTTCTGTAGTAATGTAATAATTATAAATAATGATGGTAGTATCAAGTATATTTTAGTTTCCTGACCTCGATCGGCACCCGGGAGCGACTCTGAGGCTGTAGTCACAATCCCCAGGGGGCTGTGGCCCATCAGCCCACTGCGTGCTCCCTGACGTGGGGAGGAGTGGAGACGACGGCTGTGTGCTTGCAGGATGTGGAGAACGAGCTGGTGGTGCAGGTCAGCATGAAGCACGAGATGGAGCTGGCCATGAAGCTGCTGGAGAAGGACATCCACGAGAAGCAGGACACCCTGATCGGGCTGCGGCACCAACTGGACGAGGTCAAGGCCATCAACGTCGAGATGTACCAGAAGATGCAGGTACCCCCACTCACCCGCTGACTCCGCCAACTTTGACCTGTGTCTCTTCTTGGTTCGTCGTAGTTACTGCTGATCACTTTCCCCTTGTATGTTATTTGGGCACTTGTTGTTTTTTAATTCAGGAATGGGAATGTCCTTTCACAGTTTACACATTCCAGACAATACACTTTGTTTGTTTTATTCATGGTTAGTGTACATGTTTTGTTTTTCCTGAAATGCATATTAACTGGGAAGGAAAGACAGTATCCATTGGTTTTTATCTAGCAATTGCTATCTCTTTTTGGAAAACGCAGTATTTCCTTCTAAGATACATTCCTTCTAAGAATGCCCTTGAATTAAATTGCTTGATGGTGTTTAGACATTGGAAATTGTGAAGTGGAACTGACCTTTCAAGTTAGATTGAGAACTTTTATTTTAAAAAAAAAGTTATTCCAGCATTAAGGTCAGTTAGGTTGAATTATGTTGTCCAGAAATTGTATAGAAAGTGTGGAATAATTGAACAGATTGAATGCCAAAGCAGAGATCAAATGAATGCCTCCTGATGTATTGGCAGCGCTCTGATGACAGTTTGAAACAAAAGAATGACATCATAACCAGGCTGGAAGAGAAGACCAATCAGATTACTGCAACTATGAAGCAGCTGGAACAAAGGTATAGTGGCCTTTCATTAAACTTTCTACTGATTTAGATGATAATAATCACAACTAAATGATGAAAATCTAGCTCTTTATTTAATTAGCACTGCTTTTTTTAAATGGGCAATGATTAATTCTTCAGACCAGGCTATTTTGGCAAACATATTTAAACATTTACTAAACTGTTAAACTTTTTACTGTTATCTTGATGTAATCAGATGCCTCAGCTGCCGAAGGCACATTATAAAGCTTCTAATCCTGCAGTGCCAAGAAAATGTTTTGTAACCATTAATGTAGTGGTAATAAATATGATTTCTTTCCATGAAATCCATGTTTGATAGGTGAACTCATAAGTTACTTAGTACAAGTAACAGTCTAGTGTTTTTCTGTTTTACATTTAGTCAGGTGATCATCATCTTTTATTAAGACTTTCTTAAAGATCTCATTTCATTTAAAGGTCTAAAATATAAGAATACAGACCAATCTAAGAGATCACAAACCTTTCCTTGGTACTGTATGTTACAAGTTTCTTAGATTAGTACTTGTACTAATTGTAAAGAAGCAGGATTTAAATAATCATGTTTGGTGTTTTTAAGTATACAGTTGTGTTGGAAAACTGCATTGCATTTTATAGAAAATGTGTAGAGTTTATAATAAATAAATTAAAATTGTAAATACATGCCAATGATAACTGTTTACCTAACTAGAGAACTAGTTGATAGATTGGCTGACCTGCTTTAAAATATCAACACAGCTCATTGCTCTCCCCATGGTTGTGTTGTGATTGTTACACTGTGGCACCACTGCATTCTTCCTGTGATTTGTGAGATGTGCCTGTAAATCATCAAACACTTGAGCTCTGTCTTTGAGGCTGAAAATTCTCTATTGTTTCGGTTGCATCAACTTAAGAGAAGCCTGGCATGTTGTTTAGACAAGACTTATGGTCACTGTGTATAATACTAACAAGATTTGAGAAAATCCTCAAACATTTCCTTAAAATTCATACAGTCTTATTCTTATTCTTACTCTTTTTGAATTCTCCAAAAAAGCGGTGACCTCTAAAATCTTTACCGGTGGCTTGTTTGTGATATACTTAAGATCTTGAGATTTTTTTTATGCAGTCAGGTCTTAGGTGCTTCTTAATGCGGTATTTGTCCAAATCACTTATTTACAAATGTATATCGATGTTATGAATTTATCTACTGATTTGTCAAAACAATGTCCTGTGTAACAGGGACTTTTGCAGTATGTATTCCCTAGCTTAGAAGTATCAGCCAGTAGTGTAGACCTGCACTGGAGGAAGCTTATCAGTTATGTGCCTCCCGAAAAAGCATAAACTAAAATAAGGGACAGTGCCTTATCCCCTTTCGTTTCAATTGGCAAATTGAGCCTCAGGGGATTCTGTTACCATTGTGAACAGACACTATCATGGTGTGTTTCTTTGCTGGATTCTATTGAACACATATTCTGATTTGATGATTATGGAAAAAAAGACTTTGCTGCTTTTCAGCCATAAACACTCCCGATAGACATATACTTCAGTCTCTAAATGACAAAACTGTGCTTGTCGTGTTTCGTGTTGCTCGGCTATGTTAAAGTGCATCCACAATCCAGCCATGTCTCTGTCAACATAGACCCCTTACCCTCTCTTTCTGATGCCATCTGTTTGTAATGTTCTACTAATGCGTTGCTTAACAATCTTTAAAGGCTTTTAGTAACATGAATATTCACTGATATTGACATCATCTTTCCCCTTTTTGTTCTCCTGTTTTCCTTTCTTATTTCCATTTTTTTTGGTTTTACTTTCACACATTTTTACATTACACGCCTCTGACTCCTTCCTATTTCCCTGGTTCTGTGTGATTTGGTTTGGTTGTATTGTTGGTTTGGGTTTGGGGTTTCGTTTTTTCTTTTCTTACCCATGGCGTTGCTGTAGTGACAAAGATTTGCTGTGCCAGACACGGACTCTTGCGATGTCGTTTGTGAAATGTGCTAGCACTGACACTGAACACCAATACAAGCTGGTGAAAGACATCTCTTTCTGAGAGCTCCTGAAAGCTGGCACTTTGTACATATAACACAGGGTTTCAGAACAAAGAAGAGTCAGTTAAATATTAAGAAATAATAATCAAAGGGACAACCGTTTTTTTTTTTGTTTAGTTTCCTTTACTTTTCATTGGTTTAATTTTTGATGACGGCTTTTTAAAATGTTTTATAGAATATAAAAACATGGCCTAATTGTTGTAATAAGAAAATGCATATACAATTGATCTTGTAAGGTAGAACCTTTTAGGTAAAAAAAACAGAAGTATATCCTGTGTCTTTTAATATAAGCTGAAACAATAAAAGTAGGTGTTTTGAAATATATTCCATTGTGCCTTGTGTGCTTTATTCACTATGGTACAGGGTTTGCTGATGTGTGGATCTTTATTGAAGTTAATAGATCTGCCTCGATTCCCATTATCTGCTTCTGTAAAAACTCCTCCTCCCCCCTCGGAAATATTTTTTTTTTGCTTTGGGTTTGCTTTTCCTTTTTGCCCGCTGCTAGATGTTCCTGCTTCTCGTTTTCATTTGCTCGTCCTTCCCCCTGCACTCCTGCGCCCCCCCCGCCCTGTAGTTCTAGCCTCAGTTTTACCCAGTTGGTTTGAATTGCACCAGATTACAGCAAGCGGAGAGAGAGCGCTGGGCTGCCGAAGAAGGAGCCAGGAAGTTCAAACAGGATTTCGCCAACAAAGCAGACAGCTTGCAGAGACAGATCGCTCAGAGAGAGAAACAATTGTAAGTGCATTATGAGGTTGGCTTCTGTTTTTATTTTCACTGATTGGGGAAATCTCCAGTTTGTTTGCTTTACATCTCATCTCGCAGCCACAATTCCTGTATGTTGTGGTGAGAACAAGGGACTCCTGTGTCCTGCCCACCCACTGAATCGTTTTGACACTCCACAGTGCCTAACAGGATTGTTCATGCCAATTGGACATCACTAACATTCCCACTAGCCTGCAGGTACCACAGAGGTTGGCTTCTGGGGGAGTTGACAAGCAGACTGTAAAATTCTTGCATAACTGTTTGGTGGGACACCTCCTTTTGCGAGTAGTGAAAGACGACAAAAAGAGCTCACATTGTGTAGTGATGGTTGCACCATCAAGTAGTCTTGGATCTGCTGTGGATCCTCACACGACATAGAGGTTATCAGTCCTTATGTGACGTTTAGGGCTGATCAGCATATTCTTTGTCCTTTTAAAAAATCAGATAATCTTGGTCTCCTTTTATGAAATCTACTTGCTTATCAGTGTCAGAAGACAATTTTTAATTGATCATCAGAACACAATTGTTGAGTTGATAGTTCTTGCATGCCAAGGTTAAAACAAACCATTTTTATATAATGGTAATGATCATGGAAGAATATGCTTGGAGTCGAGTTGGGAGTTTGGAACCACAATTCACAGTGTAAGAGAACTTTAACCATGTATAAAAAGCTTTCGTTTGTGTACCGTGTAACGTTGAAGCCCTGTTTCCAAAGTCATTCTGAATAAAATTCTGTAACCCACTAAAATTCTCTAAGGTGTTTGATGTATAAAAGGTTAGCCATGACTTTTAATTGTTTTAAAGGAGCTTGTGATAACAAAAAAAACAATGCTGTTATGATCACAAAATAGTATCTATTTCATACTTGAACTTGGCATGTGAGCATAATTGAGAAAAATCATTAGAGGTGAGCCTTCAGGGCATATTGTGATTTTGTATGTAGTAGTTCTTTAACCTTTTTTTGGACGAATGGCTCATTGAAAAACAGTAATAGTTTTTCAAAATTTTCCCGAGTACCAGAATATCTCTTACTTGTGGCTCTAGGTCAGAGAATAGGAGAATAATGCACTAACCAAAATTGATCTTCAGCCACTGGGAACAGACTCACGCAGCATCAGAGAACTGATTATCAGTGGTCCTCACAGGAATTTAACATTGTTCCTACTAAAACAGGCACCAGCTGGAAACAGACTTGAAAATAGAAAAGGAATGGAGACAAACCCTGCAGAATGACCTGGAAAGAGAAAGAGAGACCATCTCACAGCTTAACACTGAAGCTCAGCAAATAAATGGACTTAAAAAGGTAAGACCCCACTGCTGCCTTGCACAGGAATGGAAATGTATGGTATATGAATCCATTGATCCTTCCCAAGTAACTGTGTACAAATGAACTAAGAGGAGACCAAGAGCACATTGACCAACAGTGTCTTTGATTTGGTAATTTATATACCACACAGTTGAATTAAGAGATAAGATAAGATCACTTTATTGGCCATATACAATTTCTTTTATTAGGAATTTGTCTTTTTCACATACCCCAACTTGCTCTCCATGAGACAGAGAGGGAGAGAAGCCTGGGGTGAGAGCGCAGGGTCAGCCATTTATACAGCGTCCCTGGAGCAGTTGAGGTTAAGGGCCTCGCTCAGGGCCCCAAAAGAGTAATATTCCTCTGCTGGCCGTGGGATAAGAACCGGAAACCTTCCAGCCACAGGCTCAGATCCTTAGCCACAGCACCACCGTCCCCAATTATCATGATGGAAAGAGGCAGGGGCCACTAGACATCCGCTCCAGAACAATTAAGAAACAATTTACACAGACAGAATGTTTAGATTTTGTTTGAGAACACGTTAAAATAAGGTGTGTGTATGGAAATACAGAAAGTAGTGCATTTGATTATGTTTGCTAATCAGTGAATGTTATTGTCCTTAAAGGAGTTTCACAGGTTGCAGGATGAAAACAGGCAACTGAAACGAATCTGCGAAGAACAGGAACAGGCTTTGCAGGAGCTCGGCTGCAAACTCAGCGAGTAAAGTCCATTGTTTAACTGTTTTAAAACTTCTGCCATCCACTAGGAACAATAGTCATTCCTGTTGGGGACGTAGAGCATTCTACACAAACACCCAAATTCCTTTCACGCACAGCTTCCTGCGGGTCAGACCACCCATGCAACATGTATGGGGTAAATGAATTACATCAAAATAGTCAACAGCTCAACTGAAATGTGAACATCAAAATTCTTTGCAAAAATATATTTAGCAGTTCAATTCAATCCAGGTCCACCTCTTAAACTAGCAGAATTCCTAATCTTTTAGATTAACAGCCTATGCCAGCCATTGTTGAAAAGACATCACACTCAGGCTAAAATATACAGCCACATACTGAACAGCAGTTTTCAGCCAAATTTGTTCTTACGAACAACTCTCTCTTCACTAAACTGAGAAGTGTATTTTATTTTAAAGCCACATTAAACAGCAGGAGACCTCAGACATGACCACAGTGAACTCTGTGATTCACAGCTCATTCTGGTAAAACCAGAAATTGAAACAGGATCCTCCAGGCAGTAAGTTCCGGTAAGAAATTCCAGTGGAAAAAGAAATGCTTTAAAATGCATTCTTTTCAGTTGGGGAAAAAAATGATAAAGAGATTTTATCCAAGCACATCAAAGCTTATATATACAGTCAACCCTGCAGACTAATGCAGACTTGATAATAACACAAGGACACAGGGTCACAATTGGAAATTATAACAAAATTCACTTAGCGCAGAGAGAGAAGCCTCTCTCTCTTAACCTCTTTACACAGAGAGTTCTTGTGACTGGGAACAGACTGTAGAAACCAAGAGATTCCAGCCTGAGGTGTCTGTTAGCCAAGCTTTATTGTATGTTTACAAGGAACAACAACAAGGATAGTAGTTCAAAGGGGATATGGCTCTGCACAGTTTATATACATTTTCTCTACACCCTCCCCTCTCTCCTGTCTTTGAGGTCCTGTCTCAAGAAACTCAAGGACTGGGAAAGCAATTAAAACATTCCTTCCTTATCATGGAGTTTGGTACAGAAGATGGGAGTTTAGTACAGAGAGTGAGAAGCATCTGTGCTAAAGCAAGTGTGAAGGTTATAGTTTTAGCATGTGAATTCAGCAGTAGTTCACCGCTCCTACCACGATATAGGTCCCGAGTAACATATAGATTCTGCTAGCAGACTCCTTCAAGACTTACCAGTTAGGGGGTTGAAGCCCACCCTGGGTTCCTTCCAGAAATGGCTGGATGCAATATTGTATTCACTTAGTTACTAACTTACTAAATGAACAAGATAGGCCTCCTCTGTTTTGCAACCTTTCTTTTGTCATTAACTTTTCATGAACTTTACCTCTTTTTGCAAAAGAATAATCTCTCACAGAATACTTGAGATACTGTACATGTGTGGCAAAAAGCAGCACATTTTGTCACCTCGTGTTCACATCTGAGTTTTCAAGGAGTGAAAGTTTTGTGTGTTTTAGGTTTATGTTAGGCTTGCTTTTTGTGCTCCCAGGGTTAACCCATTCTGATAATTGAATGGCCTATTAAAGTCAGCCCTAAAGATGTTTATTTAAAGCATTTCATTTACTGTTCCTTTTTTGTTTTGTAGATCGAAGCTAAAAATCGAAGACATAAAAGAAGCAAATAAAGCACTACAGGTTGGCATGAATTTGCCCATTTCCCTTAATGTCTTAATTCTCTTAATTGCCAAGAATAAAGTGATACATCCCTCAGTAATACAGAATATAATTGTGTAGTGCAGAAAAGTTATATAGTTGTTTATATTTTTCTGAATTACATTCTTTGTTTTGACATTGTGGTTTTATTCATAAAGTGTGTTTTTTTAAATAGGGTTCTGTATATATGGTTGGATGAGTGGCCAGTTTAAGGACATTCAGGGCACGTTTTGAACACACCACATGTCCAGAAAAGTTAGCTCTTGGCACTTTAGCTAAGGACAGAGGGTTATTGTTTCGGGCTTTAACACTATGTTGACTTCTTGCAGGGAGGCCAGGTTTGGCTGAAGGACAAAGATGCCACCCACTGTAAACTGTGTGAGAAGGAGTTCTCCATCTCAAGGAGGAAAGTGAGGATTACCTTTTCTGCTGAATTAACACGACGTTCTTAAATAGGTCATTGTATTATCTTTAGTTTTTAACTGAAAGGGTCATATTCTTTTTTTTTTGTAAATTGCGAAGCATTCATGCAGAGTGGTAAAAGTGAATCGCAAGGGGCCATCCCTTGTGTATTCTGACCATTTTTCGGATAAGGAGAAACAAGGGAGCTCAGTCTGTTTGAAAATGAGGGTTATCAGCAATCAACAATGAGGCCCAGTGAGGAGAGAACAGTTGTGGAAAGGAAGTGTGGTCTGCAGACTCACCTCACCGCGTTTCATTTCTGTTCCCTAGCACCACTGCAGAAACTGCGGAGAGATCTTTTGCAACGCCTGCTCAGACAACGAGCTTCCTCTCCCTGCCTCACCAAAGCCTGTCAGGGTGTGTGACACCTGCCACGCCCTCCTCCTCCAGCGCTGCTCCTCCAACTCTACGTGAGAGTGTGGTCTGACGCACAGTACACTACGATAACCTCCGCTTTAACGGTGGGCCACCCCTCTGTGTCTCGGCCAGGCCTTCCGCCAACCAGGAGGCATCTACCTGTGGATTGTGTCTGAAGGTGCACTGTGGGTAACGAGGTAGTGGCAAAGTCATCTTATTTTAGTTTCTTGGTTACATTTAGCTTATAAACTAATTATTTTGTGGGAGTCATCGGTGTAATATTTTACGACTGCTCTGAGCCGTCAGCCAACTTATACATTACAGTATGGCCCAGTACTGTGTGGCGCGCTGGAGTGGTCGATATTCCAGTGGTGTCAGAACGAGAAGTAACATTCCTAACAGCTGCATAAATCATTTCTCAAGAAACAACAGCAGTTATATCAGATTGAAATATCTTTATCCTCTGCTGAAGTCAAGCGGGTGTGCTTCAGAGATGTCTTGTTTTTTGGGAAGCAAAAGCAATGAGGCATCAACATTGTGGCTGCCAGGCTGATAGTGGCTCTTTTTCTCAATAGAAAAATAAGAAACAGATTATTGAATATAAAGGTCACTGTATTTTATGTTAAAATATAGCAGACAGTATGTAATCCAATTTTAAAACCTTGAAAATTCAGATTTATAAGGCGATTCACTTGTGCCTCTGTAAAATGTATTGAGTGCTGATATGCAGCAACTCCAGCTCATGTTGTTTTCTGGATAGTTTTGTGCTTTACATACATGGTTTACATAATTCACAAACATGAATTAACTGCAAGCACTAACTTGATCCTCATGCTGCCTATAATACTGAGGAACAACACAAATACATAATAGCACAGCAACTTTGTTTTATATGAATTAAATTCTAATGAATTATGTACTGTTTTAAAAGTAACTTTATATTCTTAATGACTGTTATGGTGAAATTATTGAGTAATCTAGAGGATTTTGTGCAAAAACATAGTTTTAATAAGAAAATGCCAATGCAGGTATCATTGTTTTATACTGTGTTGAACTGGAATGCTTTCTTTTGTAAAATGATTTTCAGAAGCAGCTTTTTGTTAGTTATCTGTCATTTAAGTTACACTAAATTGTTGTAATTCTTCACATTTGTTCAATCAGTGAAACATTTAAAAAATGTAAAATGCCTGTACTATAAAAACCAAATATTAAACATTTACTGTAAGAAGTAAACATTAATTGTGAACAATTATTTACTGTATATGTATCAGTTGTAGATTTGGAAGTCATTTTGTTTAAACTGAGGTTTAAATGATCATTTTTATTTCCTTTTTAAATAATTTAAAAGAACTGAATATTGGTTGTGTTATGAGCCTTAATTAAAAACTGACAAAAATGTTGTATGTAAAGTATATGTAATTAAAAAGACTATATTTCTACAATATGAATTATGGCCTTATTTGATTCATGTGGAAGCAGTTATTTTGTGCCATTAAATTGCTGCCATTTTTAATCAAATCTGTTTACACACCATTATCACTCAGTGCACTAATTTAAAATAGTTTGTTACCTCAGTCATTTGTTGATGCTAGTGCTTTTGCTGTGCTAATTGATATGTATTAAAACCATACAGAAGTTTTCATTCGAGTTGTGTGTTGTTTCCTCACATGGAAATCTGTCATCCAGTTCCCCTTCTAGCTTCCTTTTTTAAGTTAGACTCCTGTTTGCTTAATTGATCTAATAATTTGCTTAAAGATGTTTAGAAAAATCTGGCAGCCCCCTAAGAAGGTGCATTAGGTCGAGACGGAGGTCCTTGAGAATTGTTACAGCTTTTCAAGGAAACATTAAGCACATTATTGCTCCACTCAAATAACTGGGAGCTCCTGATCAGTATTGTATTAGTCTTTCCATTAGCCTTTTAACGTGAAGGCTATATCTAGCTGTTGCATTCTGAACAATGGCATGTTTACATCTTAGATTGGCATTAGAGTTCATATACAGTGAGCACAGGGTTTTGGTTAGTGTTACAGTGAATGAGGGTGTTAGAAATCTCATTAAAAGTCAACTGCAATAGGCATTACTGTTATATAACACTCCCGTCACATGGCTTACGACAGCTGCAGGTCCTGTTTCTGACTTTATTGCTGGCATAAGAAGACTGAAGAAACCATGTGGCTGCAATCAAAGTCATTCCTTGCTGTAGGGGGTATTTTACCAACGTTAATAATTTATAATTACGCTTATCGACACGAACGGTTATATTTTAAAATTCCCCTGCTTATAGTATACATCATCATTGGTATTTCCCAGACTTACCATCCTAATGTGTAGCAATATTATTACACGTACCGCCAGGAAAGGGTTTTGAATACTCCTCAACACCAGCCTTGGACCACGTAAATGAAGTTTTTAAAATCTACATAGTTTCATTATGATCATATTACTAATTGCGGGATAAATATGTATTGCTCACCTCTTTATTGATAACCATCATCTGTTGGAGAGAGATACAAACCTCAATCTCAGCAACTGGGCCCACATGATGTCACATGACGTTTCTTCACCTTTATGAAAACTCTGAAAAAGTATGCTTTGTGAATTTAGCTTTTGAAATGGCTTTTCAAAACCAGACCTGTAGAAACAACCACTGTATCCTACATGTTTTCTACAGCAAAATTAGGTCTGATACATTCCCACTGCAATGCCCAGTTTCCGATACAAGGTATACGTGTTCAGCACACATTGTATTGTACCTTTGCAATTCGAATATAATTATTTAGCCCCCATGTGTATAATTTTAAATTTAATGAAATTGTGCTGCTGAGATGCAGTGGAAATGGACATTTTAGCATTAACCTTAGCAATTTTCAGGAGGCTTAAACATATAGTGTAAGTTGCCATAAGCGGCAAGTATATAAATTACATAGTAGTTCAGGTGGGTAGCTGCGCCAGCATGCGTAGGCTGCAAAGGAACAAGTAATAGGTTTATTCCATGCTGAAAAAAAGAAAGAGAACACTATGCTTCGGCTCAGCACACCTGAAGAAGGCTCAACGGCCAAAACGTTGTGTTCTCTTTCTTCTTTTTTTCAGCATGGAATAAACCTATTACTTGTTCCTTATAAATTATATAGCAGCCAAAGTACAATCACTCATGAGAAGCATAGTAATTTTATAGTGAGAAAAAGTGAATAATGTTTTACATCACTGTCTTATAAATACCATAAGCCTGTTATTTAGAACACAACCATGAATATTGTGTTGTTACCTGTTAAAAGGACAACAAATCCCACAACACAAATTTCAATATAAAATTTTAATAAGAAGCAAAATTTACAATAGCGGGTTTAGCTATCCAATGGCTCAAAGATTAAGTCCTGTCTTTGAGATCTTAAAACAGTCTAACATCAAATATGAACATACGAAAAACATCTCAAAATACAAAAAAACTGCTCAAATGCTTGAACTGTGAGTTTGAAAGTGATGTGTCCATGTGAGGAGAAACAGTGATGTCCTCTTCTAAAACATCCCCCGCAGTCCGCCCCCTCTCGACCCCATGCCTCCCGAGCTGCCATAGAATCCTCCGCTGCGGCCTGCAAGCAGCAACCACACTGCATGTGAGACAGTCCCAAGCCCCGGGGCCGTGCACACACAA